TGATACCACAAGTGGAACATTCCACATCAGACCTCATGCCAGGTTGAACACAAAATGCAGGCACACAACATTATTCAGTGTCTCCAAGGAAAAAAATAGTTAACTTAGGTCTTATGTACAAATTTCATGCTTAGTCTTAGGTCCCATCCCCAGGGATGTTAATGTATATGCAAATATTCCAAAATCCAAAATATTTTTAGTCTTAAGCACTTCACTTGACCTCTGTATGGTAGATGGGGTTTCTGATTCTTTGTAAGATTTTAGTAATTTTGGACAGTGAAGTATCCTGGATGGATTTAAATACTATAAGGCTATACTTCATCTTGGAAATTTAATGATGCATTTAAAATGAAGCTCATTTTCCAAACAAGGTAGCTTCCAACCTCCACTGAGGTAAAGGATACACATTCATTTGCTTGATATTGACAGGCAAGTGATAATGTAATAGCTTGTATAATAGGGAAAATGTAGATAATTTGGGACTACCTGTACTCTGGGGTGGGGAATTGTCTAAATTCATGGAATCTACAGCTGAAAACCTGAGAGGAAGGTGGTGTGAGGAACGGGAAGGATGGTTATGAGATAGGAAATAAACCTGTTTATGTGGAGGACTAGCTATAGGGGCCACAATGAGGATGGAAGTTAGTGGTTAGATCTTATGTAGGAACACAGGAAGCCACTGAGGGTTTTTTAATGGAGTGATAACCTCAGATCACTGAACTGTTGGACTGAATCTTACGGGATAAAGTCTGGGAAGGCTGGGGTTGATGCTGTGAAGTCCGGCAGTATAGTCTAAGGAAGTGGTAGTGATGATGCTATTTAGTTGGCCTTGATCATACATTAGGCTGGAGGGAAAGTAAAAACAAAGTGCTACCAATTTCTGGCTCGTACCTCTGGCTTTGGTTGGAGAACGTGAGGTGGGGTGTGAGTTTATCCAGGGGAGGTGAGTTAGATGCCATGCAGACTGGATATGCAAGGGTGCTGACAAGCTATACTCTGATCCTAGCTCCACCTCTTTAAAGCTATGTGATTTAGGCACATTATCCCAAAAATCTAGTTTCCTTATTTATGTGGTATGCTTCAGAGTAATTAATAAGTCATAATGTATAGCCCAATGACTGGTTCATAGTAAGAGCTATGATAATTAAAGACACAAGAAGGAGAGGTTTCAGGACAGATTTAGGATTCCTGGATATATAGGTGGTCACTGATTGCCCAGGGGTACAGTGAGCAAGAAGAGATGACTAGAGGGAAAGATTGGGAAAGAGTGGTGAGAGGTGGGAAATTGCGGGGGACATGGGAGCCAGGAAAAGAATTTTGCTTGAGATTGTCAAGGTGAGGGGAAGAGGGCAGTGGGGAAACATAAGGGGTTTAGATGTTTTGTTTTTGTAAAGCTGGTGACTTGAGTATGTTTGCTTCTGGGAAAGGAGCTAATTGAAGGAGGGAAGTTTGGTCCTTGGAAAAGCAAAATGGGATGGAGTCTAGGGAAGAGGAGTAGGGATTAGCTTTAGAGGAAGGATGTCCTTTGCATGAGGATAAAAAGGAAGAAAAGGTGGGTTTAGATAATTTCTAGGTTTGCTGTCAGTAATTGAGAATTTTCACTTTGATCGCTGAATTTCTCTGGAGTTAGCAAGGTCATAACACTGAGAAGAAGGGATGAGGGAATGTAGGTTTGCAGAGATAAAGGTTTGTAATTGCTTGTGGAGGAAAAGGGAGAACACTTATGTCAGATTGCCAGTGGTTTTAAGGGTCCTTTGGCTTCAGTCCGTGAGGTGCTCAGAGGATGAGAAAGCTTAAGGGTAGAAGCAGTGTTCAGGCCACACCTAGAACATAGTGCAATATGGAACAATGGAAATTGGAAATTCCAGTCCAAGGGACTTTTAGGAAAGTATTGAGGCATAAGATTCCTGAAAAGGAGTAGAAAGTAAAATTAATAAGGTGGGGCCATATGATAGATAGCAAGGGAGTAATC